GATTTTGGTATAACTGAGATTAGAAACTCTCCCACGTAGTACAATAAATTGGCCCAGGAGATGAGAAATATAATTCCAACTCATTTTGCGATGGCTATGTGATAACACTGGTGAGCTGTGCAAAAAGCTTGGTAAGCATTATGCTGTGCACAACCATATAAAAATAAATCCTCAGAGCAGCTGACATTTGATGAAGGAGATTGAATTCAACAAAGTATCTTTACATCTGAGTAGGAGGCAACAGGCACAGCCTCTTTTCCAAACAGCTCCAGGATGCTAAACAACACTGATGGGATGCAAAGACGCTGAGCATGGAAGAAAGATTTCTGTGTTCTTTTTGCGGAATGCGAAGTGCAACCAAGCCAGTCATTTCATTTTGTATTATCTCAAGTCAACGTGTTACTTTCTTTTGAGACACCCACTGGCAGTGAAAAATGCACAGTGGATGTCTGAGTTGGGTGGTAGGAAGAGTGAGGCTTATTAACATTTAAATAGATCTATCTGAGTAGTAAAATGGATATGCTAAGTAAATGGGTGGGCCAAGGAAACTGATTCTACCAAGTGGACTAAGACAACAAAGGATCACCTGATGAAGATGATGAGAGTCAGCTTTCAAAAACAATTAGAGCTTATAGAAGGAAGTGTCACCCGTTATTTTGGGTAAAAGATGCAGCACCAGTAATTTATATGATATACAGCAATTGTAGATGTCAAAAAAAAAAAAAAGCAACAACAGATTTTGGAGATAAAAAGCAAAATCAGGAAGGAGGAATTCCAACAAATTAAAAAAAAATGCTCAAGAGTACCAAGAAAACAGGAACATAAAATTTGGAATTTGCTTTCAGTTGTTTCACCAAGGTCTGCAGACCTGCACTAGCTGAAATGTCTGGAATCTGCACTGGTTTTGCAACTACCACATCCCTGAGGTGGGAAACTGAGAGAAGAGCATGTAAAGAGATGAAGATCTGAAGAACCTATGCTTGATGCAATCATGAAGAAGGAATAGCACATACATCTTATCCTGTGGCTCTGAGTCAGCTCCCGTTTTGGTTCCCTTTCTGCAGAAAGAGTTGTGATAAAGTTGATGACACTGGAGTCCTCTGAGATTCAGATGCAACAGCTGAGGAGCCTCTGTAGGATGCATCAACAGGGATAGGAACAGGTGCACCAGTGAATTTGGAACTGATTACCTTCCTATCATATAAGGGCCATCTAGAAGTCTAGCACCATACAGGTTAAAGCAAGGATGTGCTAAAGTAAAAGTCCTTACTTCTAAAGGGGTATTTTCCCCTTTAAAGCAGATACAGCAGATGCTTACGAGCACAGTTAGCAACAGGGTACAGCAAAACTGGGAAGCCTCAGGGAAAGGCTTAAACTAGAAGCAAATGCAAGGAAACACTTCCAGTGAAGAGAGAAGAGACAACTATTCTAGCAGGCATGGAAGATTGCCAAGCAGAGATCTGCCACAACAGGCATTGGAAGTCTTCAAATGAAAAGGCCTGGGAAGCATTGCAATTACTGTGCCTTGGTTCGCCTCACATGCTGCACAGTTCAGAAAGCTAAATGTCTATCATGTGTTTCTTGAATAGCACAACTCATCACAGAGTTCCAAAACTGTTTCTAATGAGAAAGTTCAGAAATAGACTCGTAAGTATTAGCAAATCGTCAACTCTGCTTTATTGCAAACAAAACAAAAACCCCTGACACTTCTAACACATGCAGTATTTTTATAAACTAAAACTCACAAGGCCCACAATTCAGAAATTAAGTCTCATATTAGCTTTTTTTAGGTCAATATTTTAAGAGCTTTACTTTAGTAAGCTAGTGGCATTTAACTGTATTAACATTTTTCTTTTCTGACCTTTAGATTCACTTAATAATGAACATACAGCAATATCAGAAGTTTAACTGGTAAAGGCTCAACAACTGATACGAGTAGTAAAAAAGGGTACACAACAAAAAGTAATTTACAAACTACAACTTCAAAGATAGAAAGCAACACTCACTTAGAACATCTTATAAAGAGATCTTCCTGAGAACTCCTTTATCAAAAATTGCCCATAGGATTGCTCAGAAAATATGGGTGACTTTCCTTTTTAACTTATCTCTCAGTATTCGATTATAGTATATACAAGGGCTGCTCTGAAAGTAATGCCTCCTATTTTTTTATGTTGGCCCACAATGTCAGAGGTGGATGTATGGCAGTAAAGGCTGAACCTGTCTGTGAATACTCCATTGCATGGTGTTGCCATGTGACAGACGGCAACAGAGGGGCGCCCTGACAAAATGGCATCCAACATGGAAGTACATACGGAAAAAAAGTGTGCAGCTGAATTCCTCCATGTGGAAAAATTGGCATCCACTGACATTTGTTGATGCTTGCTGAATGTTTAATGAAGACCAAACTGTAGATGTGAACACAGTGAGGCAGTGGGTGATGTGCTTCACACCACCAGTAGAAATAGTGATGTGAATGACAAGCTACATTACGGACAGCCACTTTGACTTTTACAAGCGTGGCATGCAGGCTCTTATTCATCATTGGCAAAAATGCATTGCTAATGGTGGTGACTGTATTGAAAAATAGTGTTTTGTAGCTGAGAATTTGTTCTATCAGCTAGTGTTATTGTGCTCTTTGTATCTGTTGAAGTTTCTGCAGAAATAAGAGGCTTTACTTTTGTAGTGACCTACGTATTTAGACACTTGTACTATGAAAAATATTTTTTTAATCTTTCAAAATTATATTTGTTCCTTGGAAGACAATGTTTTGTGAACTAGAGAATACTTGAATGCTTCTGTAAGGAAAGATGAGAAGGATGTAAGACATTTTGATAACTTTTACCATGCAAACTTCTGATACAATAATATGAATGCTTTCTTCCTTGAACAATAAATATATTAAACTATTATCTATTCTAGTGTTGTTTAACAGAAGATTTCAAAATATTTCTCATCAAGAGGAAACAGTTTAAGATGAGAGTGTATTAAGATAACTGGACTGTCGTATGAAACCTACCTGTTTCCCTAGGAATCACAACTGAAAGGAGGACTAGCTTTGAGTACGGTTTTAGAACAGCTCGTCGTCAGTGTGCAGACTGCCAGCATTTCACTTGCTAAATAAACAAACAAAGCTCACAGCTGAATTATTGTACTATACGATATGCTTGTTGATCCTTTGGAAAGGTTGAAGGATCTAGATACTTCAGTATCAGTCACCTACCATTATGAAATCTTTCTGGTATTCCTCAGTGTCTTTCTGGATTTATTTATAATAAACCATGTTGGTTTTTGTCATGTTTCTCTTTTCTGAATCTTGAGTGTACACAAAACTATTGACCTTGCCCCATACTGCTATCTGGAGCATCAACATATACAAACTCTGCTTATTATGTTATTAATATTCATAAACAGGTAAAACATTCCCAGATCCTGACAGATATTTGGTCAAAAGATTACTATTCTCATACATAACCTATAAGCTAATTTCTGTGCAGCCTCTACTTTTAAAGGCAGATGAGAGACAAACACGTGATCTGTGGTTTGCGGTTGGAAGAATGCTAACCATTCTGTCAGTTCATTACAGCTACAGATGTCAAACACCAAGGTGCTTACAGGTTATTTCCAACTTAAAGTGTACAGTGAGTGATTTAAAATACTGCTATACTTAAAATTACAAGCAGTTTGACTACAATCTGTATCATAAAAAAATGCCATTCTTCAGTTTTCCATTTGCAGAAAGATCTAATTATACTTGTGAGGCTCAGATGTTTTCAGAAGCCAAAAACATTTCCAGCTATGTTTCTGGATTCTTGGCTGTGCTGCAGCTGTTTACACAGCTCCACTGTTGCATACCTAGAAGCCAACAGAGCTAAACATGGAAAAAACTATCTGTGACCAATACTGGTGCAGGGCTGACTTTCTAAATGAGTCAGCCTTGCTTCTACTCTATAGGCCTCTATAGATACTGAAATATGGAAATACTGTCCTGCTCTAGAGACATTACAGGACCCTGCAACACCTTGCATAGCTGCTTTGAGAAGGCTTAGAGGAAACTGCTCAGAAAAGTCTCAGGACTCCTTCTGGGTCAGTGGGACAGATATTTGTTTGGTTCTACCTACTGCACACAGGTACTGCTGAGAAAGAAGCATAAGAATAAGATCATGGCATACCTTTTTAAGAAAAAAAGCACAACACAACAGCACTGTTATTAGTCATCAGGCCTAGCTAGAATCACTTTAGAAATGCCTGGAATATAGAATAATTATTTTCCCCTATTTGTATCACTCACTGTCTATTTTGTGAAAGAGTTGATAATGAAAATAAAATGTTAACATTTAAATAGAGATAACTATCTTTTCCCTTTATCATATAACATAAAATATGGCTGGAAAATGTGTTTATTCTTGCAGGAATCAAGTAACCTCCACCTGGAAAAAGTGTAAAGTGGAATACATTTTTACAGTTCATATGGCACACATGACACCAGTGCCTGGATGGCTTGCTTCATGTCATATCCAAGCATGGTACAGCAACACGTTAATTTTATATGTCAATAGGATTCTGAAAGAAATCCAGATTAACTCCTGAGACTAACCTGAACTTTTATTCTTGTGGTTTGCTGTTCTAGAAACAAAATCACTGTTTTCTGTTGTCTCTGGTTCAGCAGAGTAGGGATTGATGTGGTTTTGTGGTTTCCTTAATTGTAGTAGGAACTAACCAAAAAACTCACTTGGTCCTCTTGCTGTGTCATTCTCACCATTACTTTTGTTGAGTCATTACTGCACATTACAATGTGAAAAGGAAACCTCCTAGACACTCTTTTGTTGTTGTTCTTACTTTCATTATAGCTAACTTCTCTTTTACAGCAGACTTCAAGCTTGCACTGTATATTCAAATGTCATTATTAAGTCTAAATACATCATAGAATTATAAAAATGTTGAAGATTAATTTCAGTGCACAGTTTGACAAGATAAAAGCATTAGTTCTTAAACATTCTTACCTCTATACATGTTGCTTTGAATTTATTGGTGATTATGCCTCTTCACAGCATCCTCCTCATGCAAGCAGGACATCTGAAACAAAAGAAAGGGAACTAAATTAAATGTTGCTCCCAAAGCTTAGTTAAGTATAACATATATTTCCAGATATTTCATCAAAATGAAAAAGCAAACTGTAAATAAATTGGAAATTACTAAATCTTTAAAATACTCCTGGTTCATAGAAGGGTATTCTAGGAAAGCACCATTGCTTTCTTTTCCCCAGGTATTTGCTACTCCACACAAACAGTGACAGGATAATGGGCTAAGATAAACTTTTGATCTGAACTAATACGGCTTTTGGAAAGGTGAAAGAAAATTCTAGTGTTAAACCAGAAGACTTATGAAGGGGTGTTTAAATTAAAAGCAATTCAAACACAACTGACTTCGGAAGAAAAATCTCAGAAGCTTCAGAAAGAAACAGTCTGTAAATCAGTCCAATACTAAAGAATGTGAAACAAGATGAAGCCAAGGCACTGTATCTATGATGATCTCACAGACATAGACAAACATCATATGGATAACATTTCTGGCTAGGCTAAGGTTCTGCAGATTGGACCTTCTTAAAAATACTGAGTATGAGCATGGATGTAACCAGTCAGCAATATCAAATGCATGCTGCAAAACCTAAGACAACCTGCTGTTGGAAGATATATATGTTGCCATGTGAGATCAAGAGCAAAATTTCCAATAACACAGGAAAGAGAACACAATGGAAACTTTAAGATTCCCACTTGTTCTCAGTCCAAAGTTAATATAACTCTACTTATAGCAGACAGAAACACATACCTTGTAGCACTGGAGTAAAACTTATGTCAATATCTGTACTAGCTACTGACTATTAATATCACATCAGCAATCAAATAACTGTCACTGCAGGGTGGACATGATTTAATATGTTCTGACAACTCACAAGTGTCCCATTCTTGCCCTTTGATTTCAAGCCCACCATTTCACACTTGATTATGAAGAGTTAATGGAAGAGGACAAACCAATGACAAATAGTTGATATAGGCTATATGAGATTAAATGAAGCCATACTGAACATTGAAGAAAAGTCAAACATACTTCACAAAGCTACAGCAGTATAATCTGTTCAGAAATTCTGTGGTATGAAAGATAAAAACCTTAATTTTAGATGCTCTGTGAACTGAAGAAAATAATCTGACAACTTTAGGTGAAGCAAATAGAGAAAAAGCTACAAGAATGCCAAAAGGCTGGTTTCATAGCAAGTGGAAAGGAAAACTTCCCAACAAAAGGAAGCCAGCAGTCTCTAAGGTGCAAGATCATACCAACATAATTTGTCACACCCAGTCTTAGAACTTTAGAAAGAAAAGCTACTGAACAAAACCACAGTGGGCCTTAATTTTCTTTAAGGGTGATGGATGCAGAATGTGTTATGCAATCACGACAAACAACAGGTGCAGCAGGTTCCAGCTCATCAATCCATCTCAGTGATGAAAGAACCACCTTTCCCCCCAAATTTCCTTCTGCACACATTAGACATAAAAGTTCTAGAGAGCACAGCTGTTGAGGAAAAGAAAAGTAATTTCCAAGATAAAGTTAGGGGAGAATAGTTAGTCTTGCTTGTAGTAAATTCTTGCCATTCTGTTGAGATGCTTCAGTCATCTGTATTTTGAAGCAAAAGTGAAAAGAGGGTAAGAAGCTCTGCCACCTCAGACAAGAAATGACCATTGTTGTTCTTGTATGGATCTGCCTACTTGCAGTACAGCTGGAGGCCGGTGTTGAAGCTCTCTGACCGCTCCAGCTTTTGTCAGGAGGGTAGGGCCCTGCAGTACTGGGCCAGAAGCTGCGCATTTTCCAACTTCTGATGCCCAGGCAGCATAAAAGAGACGTGGTACAAAAAAAATGAAGCAGAGGGAGAAAGGAGGGGGTAGGACTTGATGGGACAGGCTGTAGACAGGAGGCATCTTGCATGATGTGAACAAGGGAATAATACTGCACAAAGCAGGAGTAGAATGTGACTCTTAAAGAAACCTCACTTCCCAAAATTCACAGGAGAACCCAGAGCATCTGTGGAGGGGTTTACAGACACAGCAAACATCTTTGAAACCCTCTGGTGAAGTAGGTGGTCCAAACTGGAGAAAATTAGACTTCTCTAGTTTTCTGCTGTTCTTTGAACTCAACTAATAAAGGCTTAAAAAAGTAGATATAAAGGCCTGGTATTCTTGATGATCCTTTGCGAGCACATAAGCCACAATCATAGTTCCAAAGGTTAAAATCTATCTTCATCCAGCAGAGTTTTTTAAGAGCAGGAAGTTTCATGTGAATGTTATATTTCATGTGAATGTTAAAGTGAAATTAAATTGATTGTAAAATCCAAGCACTTAAAAATTATAAGTAGTCAGAATTAGAGCTGTCTATGCAACATTAATGAATTCAATTTTAATATTACCTGGATTATAATGTAATTTATAATTGCAGGATCATATATTTTCCCCCTTAATTTAATTCCCTTGGGATGGATTAAGTAAGGAAAAAAAAAAACTGTTTGTGAACACCAACATGAACCACATATTTACTAAACCCATGAGTCAGCTGTGCAGACAGAGCTGAGGATTAGACATAATAAAATCTTAGAAGATTATGAATTTTGCTTAGGGAGAGATTGCTATTTCCTTAAGGATGAGAATCTAGTCTTAGACACGCATACATAACTTCTCATTATTATTCAGGGGTAAGGAACAACCATTCAAACTTCTTTGTGTCCTTCCTCCAGAGGGATTTGTTAGGGCTGAAATACCAACTCATATCAGTATGAAAGATCATGTTTCTAAAGTTCTTATTTTGCTCCTTCTACCAATAGTACAACCTAAGTTTGCTTCAATGTAAATTTTGTAATTGCAGTAGTAGCCATCTGTCCCCAGTATCATCTCCTAAATCACTTGCTCCACTATCAGACTCGGCCCTTCTTTGTGGGACCCACACAGTCCTGCCAAGTGCTGTGACTACGCTGCTGTCTCTGTCCTCTCTGCCACCAAGAGAAATAGTAGAGACATAATTCTGTGAACTCAGCTTTCATCAGAAACAAACCAGGACTGCAGGTGCCTTTACTAGGATATGGAAAATGGCCATCAGCACTGCTCCTCCATTGAAGGAGCAGCTGTGCGACTACGCAGATACCTTACTTGGCCAAAGCTGGATCCTGCTCTACCCTCCCAAGAGCAGTATCCTCTTTGAGTGACAGAGGTCTGGTGAGTTTGCAGTAATAGAACATTTCCATGAAAACAACTATCCTCTCTATAGCACACAGCAGCTCAGGCAGAGTACTAGGCTAGAGCTGCTGCACTCTTCTGAACAGCAGATTTGTACCTCACCAGCCTGGACTGGAAGCTGAACAAAACACGTCTGCTTGACACTGCTGCTCCTCACCAATCTGCTGTGACTCCTGCTGTGTCAGGAGTGTTGAGCACTGATTTCTGTCATGTCACCAGGTGTGGTGAAATGTCCTGGCTTTTTAGAAACTGCAACCGACATAAACTCTAATTTGTTTTTTTTGCTTCTAAAGAAGTTTCTATCTCCCCTTCAGAAGATGAAACAAACAGTACCTTTTGGCAGCTATAGGTACTTCTTCCAGTAGTGTATGAAAAATATTTTTCTTACACTGAATTCATTACCAAATTCCCAGTATTGAAAAATCAACTCCCTCTCACTTGAGTTAATTTGTATTTAAGGTTTTGCTTTGCCTTTTCAGCCTTTTAAAGCTGTCATTAGAATGTTTACCCAGTTCTCCAATTTACGTCTGCTCATTTATATTTATCTATATAAAATATTAAGGCAGCTTTAATAAATGAGCAACAAATGAAATTCATAAATGAACAACCTCTTTTATGAAGTTAATATAAGTTCTTATGTCGTTGTCCAATACAAAATCTGACTGACTCAAGTGGGAAATATTTTCCACTTACCTTTTTTCATATATCCATACTCTTTACTTACTATTTAAAACTAGATCCTTCACAACTTTATCAGGTTCATAAACTTTTATTTGTAAAATTAAATGACTATATTGGATTTTTTAATCCTTTCATGTGGCTTTCTCCACCCTGAAAATGTACAGAACCTTCCTTTTTTTTTAATGTTTGTCCTTTCATCCACTTAAACAATTTTTTTTAAAGCTCATTTCAGCCCCACCTCTGTTTTCACCTGCTTCTCAGCAATGCCTGGTTTTTGTAATTGCCTGTTTCCATCCCAGGTGCACCTCCATGTGCCTGCCTGGCTCAGACATGCGTGGGTAATTGGCCATGCAGGTGTCCTTGTTCAGAGTTACCCGCTGTTCCCCCTTAGCAGCCTTGTTTAAAGGTCACACAAATCAGTTCAAAGGGAAAATGTATTTCAGAAGCAGCCATTGTAGAAGTATATTTGGGATACAGTACTTTGACAGAATTGTTCAAGTACTAGTTTTGAATGACCACGTGCAGGTTTCGTGACCTGACTCCTGATCCTTCAAATGCTGAAGCATTCCAAGTACTCTGTAGCACCATATTTATGTGAACAAATTTCATATAATTCCAGTTGTGAATGTTTCTATCAGCTGGTGTGCAGATGTTTCAGACTGGTTAACACAAAGCAAAATAACTGCAACTAGAGTTTTCACATCCATGTGACAAGCAATTTGCAATAGAAATCTACTGCCTGCTCTAGATGGTTAGGCCACACGAAAACTTTATTTGCATAATCCTTTGTTCTGAACTTTCCTTAATTCCTAAAGACAAAAAAAAAAACATATTTCAAGCTAAATAAAACTGGAAAGTAGTGTACGTACACATCCCTGTTCCTTGCTGCTTTCTCAGTTGTTCTTCTTTTCTTTGTAAAACATGCAGGAGAGGAGCTGAAGCACTATCAAGTCATGGTGGCAATGTAAACAAATCAGAAGAGCAATTTACTGTTTTGCTTTGCATGGGTACAATACCCCATACACATGCAGGAAAGGAAAGTCTGCCTTTCATGTTTTACATAAGGGTTTGACGTGTCAATACATGCCAAGACAAGTGTATAGTATGTGCAGCATAAGG